GGGAGCCCGATGCGGGGCTCGATCCCAGGACCCTGGGATCATGACCTGAGCCGAAGGCAGACGCTTAATGACTGAGCCACCCAGGCGCCCCAAGTACTCCCCCATTTTTTAACCGGTGCATACATATATGCTATATTATATACTATAACATATTTTTATACATCAAAGAATGTCTGAAAGGATATACAGTACACTCTCATGAGCAACTATCTGGGAAGCACGATGTGGTGGAGAAAAGGAGAATTGTACTCCTTTATATGGATTTTGATGCTGCTGATACTCTTTATGTTGAGTATGTATATCTTTACAATAAAAGCTGAAGGAAAATAAATATTATCTGAATGAATGAATGAATGAAAATTAAATGAATAAAGCCTACACTACCAAATGGTCCATTCTGAATACCTATTCTGGTTATGAGGACACGCTGTGAAATCAGTCCTCTCCTAGGGATGGAAACATTACAGGATAAGACAGGTATTTACTTAAAGGCAACATAGCATCATACAAAATATCATATCCTAGGAGCCCGTAGATTAAATTCCTGGATCATCTACTACCTACAGAGCTATGCGACTAGATAGCTTCCCTAGATCTTAGTTTTCTGATTTAAAAATAAGGTGGAGCTGATTTATAAAATAAGTTTTATGAAAAAGGGTCCCAAAATTCCTTTGAATTCTAACTTTCTTACCCCTTGGTGGGGGTGGGTCATCAAATGGCCAGAGCATTAAAGATTTTAGGTGCACCGCTATTAGAAGACAGGCAGTTAACTGAATCTGACATTGAAAAAAAGAAGTACTTAGAAGGTTAACATTCATTTTATACTTTGCTTCATGATATAAATTTAGGCTTTCATCTGCATTCAACCCTACATAACAACTTATAAGACAACGGAACACTGTTTACAGCATGACATTTCAAATATCCAGATGATGGTCCATTTGGAATAGATTACATCTCTGCTTTCTGTCATCAAGCTTTCTTGGACCCATATTGCCTCCATATGTAGCCAGGAACCATTTGCTGGTCCAGTTATCTTTCACTAGGGGGGAAGGAAAAATGGGGGAAAAGTTTAACCCAGAAGTATTTCTTAATATTCTCTTCTTTCTAACTTTTCTAGATTAGAAAGTAAAAAAGGTATATACTGGTGGATGAGCGAGTAGCATCCATTAATAATGCCATAACAGAAGGGAACCTGAATCTCATCAACATGAAATGTAACCTCCTGTCTCAGAAGCCATATTGATCCATGAATTTTACTCCAAATACATTGCATATATAAGACCAGGAGGGTCACTCAGATATAATCTAATGAGAAGAGCTTCTTTTTTTATTTTTCAGCCTTGGGTTTTTTTTTAAAGGTAACTTCTTTGAATCATGACATCCTATTAGCTGCAAAAGGGGCCAGCGCTTTGCATTGTCCCAGTGATATTATATACAGTTCTTTTTATGGTTTCTGACAGAGGATCTTAATTAGACCTTAGAAAGGACAAGTACATTTTTTAGCCAACTTTGAAAGACGATCTCACCCACCTAATTCTACTTGAAAATCAATACATATAGTTCTACCTTTAGCAGTTACCAGAATGATATCCACACTGGACCACCTCCCAGGCACCTGCATCTTGTTTTCTTTCGTTGCCCAGATATTCTTTTGTTTCTTTAAGAGCTCCAAAGAAAGATCCAGTCTGACTGCCCTGAGAACAATGGGAAATAAAAAGTTTCAGAGTCAGAAGAAAGATAGAAAGTGTTTCTCTCCTTGAACTGGGAAGCCTGAGAATTCTGGAACAGTTGCCAGAGAGGGTGATGAAATCAGAGCTGACAAAAAAAAAAAAAAAATGACCACATGAGTTCTCTGATATACACTTGCCCCCCACAAACTCTTCTGATTCCTTCCAAGCACTTTCCTACCTCCCCGACGGTTGACAAGGCATCCCATCTTCCCCATGGCAGAACCTCAAACTAGGCCAGTCTTCCTCACCCGAGCAGTGTCCAGCAATGGAATATTTTCTTCCAACCCTGTCCAAACATGCCTTGCCTGTGTAGACCCTTCCAATCTGTAGACACTCAAACAATTAAGCTATTAAAGTAAGAACTAAACTATAAACTTTGTTTTAGTGCCTTCTGAGAGTAAAGCCATAGATCCAAGACAAGGTTTCCCAATTCCTGCCTGCCAATCCTACACTTGTTCCCCCTGAGCCCAGGCGCAATCTTACAAATCTAAATACTGGATTCCAACTAACCACTTCCAGTGGCTTAAAGTTGGCCTGAAAGATGGAAATTATTTGCCATCATTCCTTACCCTCTAAAAGCAAAAACTACAGTTGCTTAGAGAAGCATGGATAACTGCCAAAGGAGGTGGGCAAGATAAATACCTTGTCATAGGGAAGGTGGATCTTTCAATGAATCTACCATGATGCCATACCACCTACCTATGAAACTGACCCAACCTTAAATATACCCCTTCTGGGGGTGCCCGGGTGGCTCAGTCAGTTAAGCGTCCAACTCCTGATATCAGCTTGGGTCATCTGGAGATTGAGCCCCACATCGGGCTCCACACTCAGTGGGGAGTCTGCTTTAGATTCTCTCCTTCTCCCTGTGCCCCTCTCCACCTCCTTCTAAAATAAATATATAAATCTTTAAAAAAAAAAAAAACAGTTTACTCCTTCTGATTCAGTACTGCAAGGACAGAAGTGCCCATACAGTCCATCTGCAACACGCTCTGTGGTGATAAAGCCAACTTCTTCCATCATTGACTATTTAATGATTTAAGTCGTAAGCTTTAAAATCAACAAAATCTTCGCTAAACATTTAAATTCAGTGGAAAAACAACATAAATCACCACTGTTCTTGGATGCCATACTCACAGGAATGTGTTTTTATGTCACCCAATTCTAAACTTGTAAGCATTTATTCAAGTGTTATGGCAAAAGCATGCAGTGTTCACTTATAATGAAAAGCAGCCCACCTAAAAACTCTATTCAGCAAATTTTATTAGCTCGAACTTGGAGAAACCTTTCTGACATCGTATAATCCCATTTGATCTCCAGATTATTGTACTGAATTAACACATTCGTTACACATGTATCATGGACCCACCATATACAAAGTAGCCATCAGAATCAATGACATATGTTGACACCGAAATTGTCCAACTTTGACTAAACAAGCCAATTGTTTGGTGTTTGTATAGAAGCATCATTTCTTTTCAGTGGCTTGGATTTGTGACTTTTCTCCCTCCCACCCCACCCCCACCTACACATGCCCATTAACACAGGAATCAAATTACCCTTGTTTTATTCATATCAGGGCACTTCACCACAGATGTCTTCTGAAACCCTGTTAGATAACCAGAATCCCTCATTCATATTCACGTGTGTCTCAATTCTTTCTGCAGGATTTCAACACATATTTCCAAATTGTTTGGCATTCTTCTTCTCCTATAAAGGTTCTGAAGTTAGCCTTAGCTTTCTTTCAGATGAAAACTGCCTAACACACTAAATAACTCCTATTGATAATGAAGTTTGATCCATCCAATCAACTGTTACACGATCATTTACACAATTTAGCCAGTAGAAAATTCCAGTTTAACTGCTCACAACATGGCTGATGGCATCCTGTTCAAAATTAAGCCCTTTATGGGTTTTCTTGTTTTTTAGCTCATTTGCCACTAAATCAAACTTAATGTTTCTGTAAACTCAACTTCATTCAAGGTAATGAGATTAGCAAATAGGGAGCGTCAGAATCCCATGGATCTGCAAAAACCAGTAAGGTCTACACCTGATGCTAATTTCCCTACCTGGAAATCTTAATAATAGTCTCAAGCTCGGTATTTATTTTATTCACTATGAGCTGGACCCTCATTTCCAAATAATTCTGGACCATTCAGATTTCATGACTGGCTGATGAAAAATTTCTCTACAATGAGGAGTTGGATTTTTCGTAGCAGAACTAACATAATTCCAATGAGGAATTGGACTTTTCATAGCAGGATCTAGCATAATGATACATACATGGTGAATAATTTGTGTAATGCACATGTTTTTTCCAAAAGGCTGCACTTTTGAGGAAATGAACAAAGACCACCCAAAGGAGAACAAGCAGAGTCTATCCATCTATCTTGAGTTTACTGTATCAAGGGAGCCAGCTGCTATCAAACATGCTTGGTAGAGACTCAAAGGCAGGCAGAGTAGGAGGAGAGTATTGTGGTGGGGAAAAGGAAGGCTTCAGGTATGTCCCAAGTGGAGGCTGGAAATGGGTTAACTAGAAGGGGGGCATCCTGTGTCATCGGTTAAGGAAGCCTATTTGGCTTTCTCCACTTGGTCCTAAATTGGAAGCAGGGACAAAAATTAGGGAAGGTGTCCATTGCTGACAAAGTCCTGGACATTTGGGGCCCATTGTTACAGGGGTTTGGTTTCCTGGACTTGTTGCTGCAGGTTGTGGGTCAGAATTCTGTGTTTATTCATGGTCTGGCCATTGGTAATTTGTATATTCAATCTCTCAACTGACACACTCTGGAGAGTCTTGCTTAAATCCAGCAACATTAAAATGGCCATGCTGTACTAACAAATGGTACTTCCCATCGAAGTTGCTGATGTAGCACTTCTTTTCTGTGATGACAAAGGAGAACTCATTCAATATATATTATTTCGAAGACAGGGAAAAAGACAAATGAACACTTAATATCCCGTTATGTGTAGAAGTTAACCCTGTGAACATTTTGGAGTATAGATTTCCACTGTTCGTTCCTTACACAACATTTTTAAAAAGAAGATTGAACTGGGCATGGTAATTTGCAAACTCTTTTAAGCCAACAACAACAACAAAAAAAAAAACAACAACAACAACAAAGGAGCACCTGGGTCGCTCAGTCGGTTAAACATCTGCCTTTGGCTCAGGTCATGATCCCAGGGTCCCGGGATCGAGCCCCACATGGAGCGGGGGAGGTCCTTGCTCAGCAGGGAGTCTGCTTCTCCCTCTTCCTCTGCCCCTCTCCCCTGCTAGTGCTCTCTCTCTCTTAAATAAATAAATAAAATCTTAAAAAAAAAAAAATCATGAGTGGTCCTCTGCTTTGCCGTTTAGCAATTTTTCCTGTCGTCATTTTAATGACTGCTATTTTAATGACTACCTATAGGAAGGGACCTGCAATATAGGTAGCATTCTACTAATTTGGGATCTTCATGGCATCTATTGTTCACTAGGATAAAAAAAATATTGCACAGAACATTCTTTTTTTTTTTTTTAACATTTCAATGAATCAATAAGGATTTTTTTTTCTTTTTTTTTTTTTATTCTTATGTTAATCCCCATACATTACATCATTAGTTCTAGATGAAGTGTTCCATGATTCATGGCATCTATTGTTCACTAGGATAAAAAAAATATTGCACAGAACATTCTTTTTTTTTTTTTTAACATTTCAATGAATCAATAAGGATTTTTTTTTCTTTTTTTTTTTTATTCTTATGTTAATCCCCATACATTACATCATTAGTTCTAGATGAAGTGTTCCATGATTCATTGTTCGTTGCACAGAACATTCTTGCAGGTAAACTCTCCCCATGCAGCTCTGAACAACAGATTCTCAAGAAAAAGTTTTCAGGGCACCTGGGTGGCTCAGTCAGTTAAGCGTCTGCCTTTGGCTCAGGTCATGATCCTTGGTTCCTGGGATCGAGTCCTACAGTTGGGCTCCCTGCTCAGCCGGGGCTCTGCATCTCCCTCTCCCTCTACACTTCCCCCCCATTTGTTCTCTCTCTCTTTCTCTCTCTCTCTCAAATAAATAAATAAATAAAATCTTTAAAAAAAAGAAGAAGAAGAAAATTTCAAGAGTTAGTGATAAGAACTAACCAGGAGGGGGACGCCTGGGTGGCTCAGTCGTTAAGCATCTGCCTTCGGCTCAGGTCATGATCCCAGGGTCCTGGGTTCGAGCCCCGTGTCGGGCTCCTGCTCCGCAGGAAGCCTGCTTCTCCCTCTCCCACTCCCCCTGCTTGTGTTCCCTCTCTCGCTGTCTCTCCCTGTCAAATAAATAAATAAAATCTTTAAAAAAAAAAAGAAAAGAAAAAGAACTAACCAAGAGGTTACAGAATAGAGAAGACCCATTTGTACCTGTTTCATCACCATCTAAACCCCTCGCTTCTCCCTCTGGGCCCAAGGACTTTATCCCTAGGGTGCAGCCACAAGTCTACTTCGCAACCCTCCCAGCCTTGTTCCTGTTGGGAACTCAGGCAGCAGCTCCCCACAAAAGATTCTCGGCAGAAGCCCGGCAGAGCCCTTCAACTTGGGGACCTGGACACCTCAGCGGAGGCTGGAAGGCTTCTGCCCACATGCTACCTCCCTCTCCCTGACAGGCTGCTGAAGACATTGCAAAACTCGCAGCAAGCCCTCTTCCCCTGGCCTCTTTAAAGTTCAGAGCCTGCCCGGTTGCAGCCTGCCTGCGAGCCTGGGGCAATTCAAGCTGTGGGGCCACAGGTGAATGGAGCTTTGAGGTTACCTTCTTGCTGCACAGTCAAATCTCTCCCCCTGGGTAAACCAGAGGATCGTGGGGTTTCCTGTCAAGTTCAAACATTTTAGAGATACCATCAAATGTGCGTCAAACGCCTAGTTGCTCCGACAGGAAGGACAGGAACGCACGCTCTACTTCAGCGTGAGGGAAACAAGCACATTTAAAAGTTGGGACCAGGGGTGGATCTAGGTGGAA